CATTTTTTGCACAAAGGAAAATATATATACAAAAAATGTCTGTCTTGTAGCAATTGAAAGATACTATAGGCTCAATGCATTAAGTGAAGTCTTGAAGGGAGTGGTGCTGGAATATAGAGAAAATACACGATTCTTGGTAAATTTTGATCTTTCAAGTAATCAACTAGTTGGAGAAATCCCTTTTGGAGCTGATAAACCTCACTGACTTGATCAATCTCAATTTGTCTCATAATCATCTGAGAGGACAAATCCTATTAAAGATTGGAGATATGGTGTCTCTCGAATCACTTGATCTTTCCAACAACTATTTGTTTGGAACAATTTCAGAGAGCTTATCAAAGTTGACCTTTTTGAGTAATTTGAACTTGTCCAACAATAATTTGTCTGGGAGTATTCCGAATGGACAACTTCAAACACTCAACGGAAGTTCGGATTATGAGGGAAACCCTGGATTATGTGGGGCTCCATTGGCCCAACAATGCGAAGTTAATAGAACATCGTCGAAAGGTAAAAATGGTGGGGAGCATGATGATGATGGAAATGCAGTCCATAAGTTATACCTTTATGACTTTGTAGTTTGTGGTTTTGCCCCTGGATTATGGGGTTACTTTGGTGTTTTGATCTTCAAAAAGAGTTGGCGGCAGACTCTATTTGGGTGGATGGATGCTCTGTTTAAAAAAATGATGGGGCGGAGTTAGACAGCTATAGCTTGAGTTTACAAGGAGATTTTACAACTTTGAATCATATTGAATTGTCCCTTTTCAAGGTGTGGTTGTAGTATTTTTTAAGTTGTATGCTTGTGTTTGTTGTGATCTTTGTGGTGTGTTTGATGTTGGTGTTATATGTATTGTATTAAGAGTTATAAGTTCAATGTGGATTTTTTTTAAGTGCGATATTGTATAACTTGTAAAGTGTACGTGTGATGCACGTCATGCATAATATATAGTTCTTTAGCTTTTAAATTATGCATTTACATATTTATATAATTTATTCATTTTTTATTACTATTTTTAATTAATAGACAATTGTGCTCTGCATAATAAGACGTAACAAAATGTTTTCAAAGTTGAAACATAATTTTTTAATAAATATGACATTTTAAAGTCACTAGTAAAGTGCACGTGCATCGCACGTGGTGATAAATATTTTTTGTCGATTGAATTTAGTAAAATAAAGTAAATAATTTATTAAACATATCATTGCAGGATAAAGTAATATATAGAATAAAGGAGCTTCTAATTTTTTTTTTTTTTTAATAACATAATGATGTCCTAATATAAAAAGAATGAAATAACATATTACAACTCCAACAAAAGGATTTTGCTACTTTGCCACCCTCCATTACAACATGGTTTACAACCATCTGTAATGGAGACATTAAAAATGCAATAATGCACATTTTGCAATGCCTTCATTACACATGGTTGTAAACCATGTTGTAATAGAAGGTGGCTATGTAGCATCACCCCAACAAAAATATAGTCTCTAATGGAAAAAAATTCTAAATAACTAAATAAGGACCTAATGAATATTATAGATGCATTAGTTATTTTACTTAATTATTTTAGATGATTAAAGAGTGATTTTTTTCATTTTGGTTTTGACGTTTTCTAAGAAACATTCATACTCGTTGGAGCCCAGTACATCAATAGTGTTGCAAAATTCTTCTTAATTCATTTGACAAAACGTCTACATTATTCAATCACTTATAAATATTCTGGTCAAGCATATAGTCAAACTTCATGATTGTATGATCTTATAAGGTATTCAATCACCGATTTCTCTGAAAGAAATTTTATCATGCCCTGTTATTTATTTGAAAGGCAAACGAATTTTATAACCTATTGTTTGCAAATTATTGACCATCTTGGTTGTTGTAATGATTTTAGCGTTGATAATAATATCTTTCACTTTCCTTCGAATTTGCAGTACTTATGTGCCTACTAACATCTTTAATGTTTTTATTGTCAATTTTTTTTTTCTGCCATAATGCTTCAAAAAATCAAGATAAAGATACTTTTTTGGAAAAAAATAGCAAAACAACAAAACAAAACAAAACTATGAGACAATATTAAGAAACATATCATATGTTAAAATATATGTAAGATAAGAATTAAAATTCTATTATATTATGATACTCTTATTCGCTCTGTGTACTTTATTCTTACGAAGTTATTATTAACATTTACGTCATGTATTTCAAAGTTTCTATTTTTTTTAATTATTTAAAGTTCTTGATAATGTAGGATCATATTTATGAGACCTAATTTCTGACAGAGTTCATATATTTAGACGCTAGCAAAAAAAGAAGTAGTAATTTGAAAAGACTTTTGTTTCTAGATATTAGTATTCATATTTCTCTAAGAAAATACGTACTTTTATTTTTCCTATTGAATTACTATCGTGTATTTGTTCTTATTCTATTCACAAATAATATTTATTTATTAAAAGAACTAGATCACATTTATATGTATTGCGTTATTTTTTTATTCTGTACATACTTTATATAATAATGTTGCAATCAAATATCTTATTTATTAGACTACAACTAATATAATCAAGTAAGATAAATACTATTTAATATTACTTCTGTATTTGTTTATAAAAATAATATATTTGAAAAAAATGTACTTTTGTACCTTTTTTCATTGTTTGATAAAATATTATGTAATTACCTCATTTTCAGATTCATTGAAAATATATGTTATATGTTACAATAATTATGGTGTTTCTTTCATGCAATAGCTGAATAATTGTTTAAAATATAACTCATTTATTTCTCCTTTTAATTCATATAGTTAATGTTAGTAATAGTTGTAAGTTTACATACACTTTGTACGTTTTTCTTATTTGTGTGATTGGACCCCTCTTTTTCAACTAAAATCCCTTTATATGTCATCATCCATTAATATCATAGGCCAATTTCCACAGTGGCTTCAAACACAAAAATCATTACACTATTTGTATCTATCTAATTATAACATTTAAGGCATGCTGCCAAGAAGACTCCGTTCCATAACAAAACTGACTGATTTAGACCTATCCAACAACCATATTTATGGATCTATTCCAAATCTTCCTTTCAGAATCCTAGTTTTAGTCTATAAAATAACACAATAACTGGTTCGATATCCGGTTCCTTATGCCAAATGAGAGATTTGTTTTATCTGCGTCTCTCCGAGAATCTTTTGTCAGGTCACATTCCACCATGTTGGGTTAACTTATCTTATTTAAGGGTTTCAACATTGTCATCTAATAAGCTTTCCAGGCCCATTCCAAACTCCATTGGTGGAGCTTACTCGTTGGGATGGTTGCAACTGAGTAACAACAGTTTTATAGGGAAACTCCCCCCAAATTTGAAGAATTGCACCTAGTTAATATGTTTGGATATTGGAGACAACTTGTCAGGGAAAGTTCCAGAATGGATTGGAAACAATCTACTTAATCTGACAATTCTTAGGCTAAGGAACAACAAATTCTATAGACATTCCATCCTCTTTCTGTCAAATGTTCAAACTTGAAATAATGGACCTCGCAAACAACTGGTTGACCGGAAACATCTCACGTTGCTTTGTCAATTTTTCGAGAATGGTTCACAATAAAACCACTCGCGGTGAGCATTCATTCATATAACACTTCCATGATATTATTGGTGTATTCAATATTTCTTAGTTCGTTACTGATGATATAAGAGTTAGTTGGAGGAAATGAATTTTTTAAATTGTTTATTTTGATCACTAAATTAATTTTATTTTTTTTAAAAAAGTTAGTCTTGTGTGGTGGGGGTATTTTCCTCAAGTTTAAGCCAATTCTTATTTTTATTTTTTTTTTCAATAAAAGGAAGCTAAATGTGACTTGATCGTGAGGGTGATAAATAGTAAATTTAGTAGTGATCGATCAATGATCCAATTTGTTTGTAGCAATTTTTATTACAAGAATAGTTATGTAAATAGTAGTATAGACGTTGTTTGCACAAAGGAAAATATATATACAAAAAATGTATGTGTTGTAGCAATTGAAAGATACTAAGGGCTCAATGCATTAAGTGAAGTCTTGATGGGAGTGGTGCTGGAGTATAGTGAAAATA